GTAATTGAACTGAGTATTGTCAAGCACAAGCACGTGAGACGTTCTAGCTGTTGAAATTAAGTGTATCGGTAAAGTTGTAATCGGAAAGAATAAACCAGTTTTATTTAAGAAAGGACTTGTGGTGCTAAAGTTTTGTTGGAACAAATTTACGGAAAATCAGTTAATGAAACAGAGACGTAACAATGTGTATCACTGTTGAGAAGTGTAAAATAATGCCCTTGAGGTTTGAAAAGTTGTAAACATGTTATATCTTGTGTAAAATAAGCATTGCCATTGTTAAATAAAAGAAGGATTTATGTGTAATTGTTGAAGAAAAAACAAAACTGTTTAAAAACTTGAATCTCCTAGTGATTGTTTAGCTGTGATTGAAAGAGCTGATAAAATTAAAGAGTAAAAAAGTTATTGCAAGCTTGTTTAAGGTTATGATGTCTTCATTATTATAAAAGAATACAGAAAGGATATCGACATATAGGAAATTTGCATCTTTATGAAATAAGCTATGAAAAAAAAAAAGTTTGATAATTTTACCTTTTTTTCTCAGAAGCATAGAACTAGAGGTGTATTGTTTAAGTGGTTGTTCTCAGAATTTTTAGGGTTTAAACAGTTTGCTTTTGGAAGCTCATATCTGAATATCCTTGTTAAAGTTGTAGGGTTGTGGATTGATTTACTTGATGTGTGTGTGTGTACATTATTTTAAGCATTGGTTAAATAGCTATGTGAAGAAGCACAATTAGTTTGATTCTGATATATTTTGTTTGATTGTTTCTATTGCAATGTGGGATAGTCTTTTGTCATTAATCTCTTATTTACATAAGTGTATAAATATCATAGTTTTCTTTTTAAATTAAGCATTTGTTTATTAATCATAAAAAGTATTTGTTCTTTAAGGTGCACTTCTTAAATGATGTTTCTATATTTCTGTTAGTTTGTAAAACTTACTTTTAAACTGTATGGTAATATTTTATTCATTTTCTTTTTATAATGCCTTCATTTTTTATACAATCAATGTTGTACAATCTGTTGAAAGTATAATGATAATTAACCTGGTGATTTGGATATCAAATTATTTATTTAAAGCTTTATACATGAGTTAGAAGTACTAAATGAGAGTTTATAATGAAAAAAAGCAATACATCTGATTAGAAGTAATGAGCCACATATGTGAAAAATGGTAAGAAATTGCCTATTAACACTTTTTTTTTAGACAAGCTGTGATCCAGGTAGCCAAAAAGATAACAGCAGGGAAGAGATCTGTTCTTCCATTGCCTCTACAATGAAAACTATAAGCAACAGTTCAGAACTAATGTCTGAAGGTCAGCGAACTCCATCTGATATGCTAGCTTCCCTAACTCTTAGTCAGTTTCGTGGACT